AGACCACCACTCAAAAGTTTCAAAGTGTCAATTCAAAACATGAGTCTCAAATATATTTCGACATACTGATATATTAAAAAGATATATTGCAGTCATAAAATTTCTACATTAAAATTCAGTATTTTTTGTCGTATATAATACTGAAAATGTTTTGAGAAATTTAAGTTTGAGTTTTCATTAGCTGTTAGCCACTATCTATAAACTATAAACACAGAGCATGAATGCTTGGTTGAGCACCATAAAGAACCTTGGCAGGCCATGACCTATAAGCTGTATTTCTGTCAAAAAGATTGACATTTATTGGGAAGGTTGTGCCAACATTAGCAGAAAGTCGGTCATTCAGATACTAAGAAAAAATTTACAATCCTAAGTAGTGGCTGGTTTTTGAAATCGCTTTCTTGACGATTTGCTCCATTTTCCCAATGAATGAAAAACTGTGTAAACGACCAGGTGCACTAACCTATTTCTCCCTGTGGTTACATCATGCCAGGTCATTAATCAAATGAGTCTACTGGGTTGTTTGCATTAGGCCAAAATGCATCGGTCAGTGCTTGTTGATTTAACCATAACACCTTAGCACATAAAAATGGCCATGGATCCAAAGTTTGATCTTCAGTTAGGCTGCATAATGTTGCATTTCATCTACTGCCAGAAACATTTTTATCATGTTGTACACGCTGACCGAGGAATCAAAGGCAAGTTCTTTATTCAGACATATTATAAATGGCAGATGTTCTGTTATACACTAGCTATGAACAATGTTTCAAAGTTTTTTGAGTCAAATTCTTAAAGGTGCAGTATGCAACTTTAATAAAAAATATATATTTTTCCATATTTGTTAAAATTGTCACCATACTGTGATAGCATAAGCCAGATAATTTGTGAAAAGATCCGTCTCCTCCACTTCCTACCTGAGCTGCTACTGCCCATCTGAAGAAATGTACCGCTCAGTCAGGAGGGGAGGAGTCTTAGTGCCGTCAATCATCCTCATGTACTCAATGCTAAATGTGCAATACACCTTACCATTACATGAAATGTTTATCTGCTGTCATTGGTGACCATGTCAACTAGTCTCAGCATTCATGACAGGCCATGCTAGTTGCAACTAAACAGAAAGCAATGGAGGAAAGAAGGAGAAAGATGAGCAGCGCCAAATGGAGAGGTGATTGACAGCGCAAAGACCTGCCTCTTGACTCTGGTTGGATTTTTCTAGTTAGCACTGGAAGAAGGCAAGCTCACTTGCCTTCTTCCATCTTCCTAGCAAGTAGGAGCATGTTTTTTTTTTTTTTTTTTGTCCTCTGTCACAATTAAATAAATAAATTACTCTCTTCACATGTTCCTCCAACATGGTTTTAACTAACTATTAGTTACACCTGTGACTTGCTTTTGTTTTTGTCTAAATGAGTCAAACTAAGGGAAGAATATTTTATGGACAAAACAAAGTGACTAAGAGGAGGAAAGAGAAAAGAAGGCAAGCACCGTTTAGCTTGCTAATATAAAGTAAAATGTTTTGGAAACAATTTATTGGGAGGAACTTGCTAATTAATAATAACAGCTCTGGTCAAAACTGAAGGAGACATATCCACTTGTATAGTTTCTGAACGGTTGTGTTTTGAGTCATGATTTGTTCACAAGTGGTCCTTCCCCACAGCAGTGAATTAGAGGCAGAGCAGGATCACCCTGAGTGCTCTTACCTCCCTCTGTAGGGTGTTGGTTTGTTGATTCTCTTATTCTCTAGACACTGCTCGTAGTCAACATTTCTCCTTACTCTTCTCACTAGTTAAATTACAATATACATCTTAACTTCATACACTGAAATTTGAGCTGGAGACTTTGCAATCACTATATTTTGTCTTGGCTTGATGTTTGAGTTAAACATCAAAAATAATGTTGTCAATCTTCAGTAACTTGTGGCAGCCCTCTTGCTTAAAATTGTAAATGATTTAAAATGAGAGTTTAGATTAGTTTTACCAATAGCTTCATCTAATTATCAGAATATTAATGCTGCGTAATTTACTTTAAACAAGTAAAGAAAAATCCATAAGCTCTGGCATTTTGTAACTCATCCCTTCTACAGTGTAATCATGGTACAGGTTGATTTTGTCAGTTCCTCAGATTTTTTTATCATTAGTTGAGAAATATTTTATTTTTTTTTTAGAAAAAAAAAGTTCTTTTTTTATTAAATAGTACAACTTTCTGCCTATGGAAAACCCTCTTTACCCTTTGTCACATCGGCACCCTCCCCCCCACCAGACCGCTCCGGCTGTTTACAGTGAAAAACATCTGCATTGAAATTATTCCACTTCCTGAGGCTTGAATAAAATCAAGTCTTTACAAAACAACAACAACAGGAAGAGGGCCATTTTTACAATAGCTGTGCTTAAATATGTGCAAGAATCTGAGGATGCCTGTGAGCAGATAGTCGGCAGAGAACGCTGGGAAAAACTAGCACCCTATTTACACGTTGGGCTGACGCCACGGTAACTACAAAGTCTGCAACCTTTTCTATTTTAGTTTCTCAAGAAAGAGAAGTTTAAAAGAGATTTTTTTTTCATAGATTTTAATTCTAAACAAACAAAAGAAGCAAAACAAATTTTCCAATATTTTTGCATCAGTTAGAAAATATTAATTTTAAGCTTCCCCACAGTCTATTTAGTGATACATTTTGTTTGTTTATGTATTCTCCATGTCTGACTCTTCCTGTGTGAAAATGGAAACTCACCAGTTGGTCAATGATTAGCCAGGAGGAGCTTCTGTCTTGCCTTGAGTGCTTAAAGACAAACAGGTCATTCGATTTTATCTGAAAAGTCTTGGTGAACCAAAAACAAAACATGAGGCAAGTTTGATATTTTTTCACATATTTAAACACAAATCATGAAAATTGTACTTTTTTTTTTTCCAATAGGAAATCGAGAACCGCATTACAAATGATAGAGCTCTAAGTGCAAAGAAAATCATTTTTTCTTTTAACCACATGGAAGCAGGAATAAAACATTTTATATGCATTTAAGTTTGATATATTTATCTTCCACTCTTGCTCTTGCAAGTCCTTCCAATCCGCCATGTGGAATAAAGCCCCAGAGTGTTTAACACCAAAAAATGAGAATGCCACGCAGAAAAAGCCTGTTGTAAACAATCCCTGTCACTCTGCGTGCCGCTCGAAACTTGTTTAAAAATGTCTCAACGTCGCCCTGAAACGTTTACACAAGGAGTTGTGCAAGCAGAATTAATCTTACGGGCTTACGATTAAGACATTGAGGAATTTCCCTCGACATGAGATGAGGCTGGCAGCCTCATTCTCTCCACCTAACAGTAGCCTTGAGAAAGTGTGTGTACACAAACCCCTTGTGGTTACTCAAATGTTGTAAACTGTATAACTGAAGCTTAGGCCTCATTCATAAGCTGTTTACCCTGTCGATAAATCACAGTGTCCCTCAAGCGACAAGTCGTGACAGGAGGCCAAAGACAAGGAGGGATGGATGTGACTAGTAAAACCTGAGCCAAAGTAAACCTAAATGGATGGAAAAGTGTGAACCCACAAAGTTTTTGTGTTTGGAGTGTGTGGGCCAGAAACAAAAAACACGGATACTTTAAGTTAAGGGACAACAAACAGAATTTATCTGTTTGAATAACTGTATGAGAAGGTGTGTGTTCAGGCACATGCTGGGGAAAAGCAGGAGAAGAGTTCAGAGAAAAAAATGCAGAGAAAGGGGGAAAAAATATGAGGAAAAAAATACCATGATCATTACTCACCCTTACAATTCCTGCTTTTGTAAATGTAATGAAATTTTTTTGTTGTTGTTTAATGCAACTACATGTTGCTGAGTGTTTAAATCTTTAATTATGGAACTATGACTTCTTGTTTTCGTTCAATGCAAATTACAGCTGACAGATGACAATTTTTCTAAGATACTTGTCAAGATGGGAAAGACAAGTGAGTATACAATTTAGGTAAGCCAAAGGTGATTTTATTGTCATAATCCATGATTTGGGAAAAGACAAAGGAAAAAAATATATATATTTTTTAGTCAGTCATAAATATAAAACTTAAAACAACCATGTAAGCTCACTGTCCTTCTCTAAATGTTTCTTTGGAGGTTTTTTCATACAATTTAAATTTGTAAAAAGATTGTAGAGAACATATTTGTTTGTTAAACAGCGATATGCAGCGTCATAACCTTTAAACATGTTAAAGTTTTACTAAAGCCTTTAGTAATGGTAAATGAAAGTAAAGTATGAATTCCAGGGTTCTGAAATGTTTAAACCAGTGCTCTCCAAATATACACTCCCCCATGTGTAAGAAATGTGTTTCGGATAATGTAATAATTTATTTATTTTTTTTATTTAATTTCTAAGCAAACTACAAAGCTTCTGAGTCATAAATCTCACAGACAACTAAAATGTGTTGAAAATATTTGATTTTAAACGTCTAAAACAATTTTAAGAGGTAGCAAAAACCCTGGGAAAAGTTTGTGAAAAAATAAAAAAACACTTCAAAAACCCTAATTACATACAAAATTGATGAAACCCTCCAATTTAAACCTGTTGTACTTTCTTTTTACAATTGCACTAAAAACAAAATAAGAAAACATGCCACAAAATGAAGTCCTGTTTCTTGCATTGCAATATATTTTTTGAATAAAGTCAAAATTACCAAATTAACACGGTAATATATTAATGCAGAAACTGAAAACAGGGCTAACAGATCTTTGAATAGAAACTATATTCTTATAAATAATGGCTTGTAAATATTTTAAACATAAATTTATTGAACAAAGTGTATAGTTTCAGTATGGTTGCATATTAAAAGTAAACATAAAGTCAAAATAAATTAACCAGAATTAACTGTTTGAATAAGTCCTTTTTATTTTACACCACTGAATTGTAGATGTGACCTAAATTTCTCAAATACCTTAGAAATAGATCAGAGCCTAAACTCAGAAAACCCCATTTTTGTGCGTGTAAATTCCAATTTGGGTTATAAACACATGAACACATGCTCAGTGATTATGTTGAACTTTATTTTTAATTCAGTGCAGTTGGACTTGTTTACGCTGCCTTTCAGATCATTCAGAACTCCCCTGTTGTTTTTTCTTGTTTCTCAGCTTGTTGCTTTTGTTTTTGCCAACACAGCATAGCACAGTACAGTGCCAATTGTTGACTTTTTTTTTTTTCCAGCCATCACTGCCATTTTCAAAGGTCTTATAAAGCAGATAGCATGGAGCTGAAATGACAGCTTGCACGCAGACCGACTTGTGTTTACAAGCTGCCGAAATGGCCCAACAGGTCCGTCTGACGAGGGAACGCTTCTTGCTAAGTGAGACAGCAGATTATGACTCTGGCACGTTTCTCCACACCACGTCTCCCCATTCTCCACAGCTGCAAGTTAGTGTTCACTTGATACCGTGTTCAAAAGGATCACACACAAGACCTGTGCCACGCGTCACGCAGTGAGGTGATGGATGGACATCTGAACTGGGTCTCATATCCTCAAACAGACAGCAAAATGTGCTTAAATTCAATCTGAGCATACAGTATATCTTTTTTGTCAGGACAACAGTATGCATTACGGTCTGCTGAATTTGGAGGGTATGAAACTGTCAGCAACACAAATACGCCCATGTACTACTATTGCCTCAACAGTATCACATCCCTGTGTATCCTTAACACTGCGGCTCACTTTCACGTCTGAGCAAAGGCACCTGCTGCGACAGAGGCCACAGGGGTTGTGACACTGAACTGGTGAGCTGCAGCCAGGTCAATTCGATGTTCTGACAGGCAACCACAGCGACTCCACCTTGGATCGATGATGACTTGAGTCCATAGTCTGTCAGAAATGCCTTGGGAAGGAAGAGCAGGAAGAGGTTTTTGCCTCATTATGGCAGACCTAGTAATGAATAGTAACAGACAGAGGCAATAATAAACACTCATGTCTGCATAATCAGTATATTTTTGAATTAAAATAAATGTTTTGCAAAACAGACAAAAGGAGTTGCTCAGTTTAGTGTCTACCAGAAATGTAAGTTGTTTTAATAAAGTATATTGAGAAATGGAAAACTACTTAATTAAATTATTTTTAACCTGTAAACTGATTAAGACACGGGTGTGAGACCAAGTATTTTCATTTTACAAAACGCTTGAGTAAAAATGTAAGCCAAAGCAATCCAAAAAGTTATTACTGTTACTGCTGCTAGATAATATTTAAAATATTGTTACAGTCGTAATAAAGTTTTGTATAACATTTTCAATACATATAATTTATGTATAGATTTAAGCAAAAATATCAAATACATGCAAAGATTTACAATTTGTTGCACAGAATATTCTTTGCCTTATCTTTTCTACTCTATATATTTTTACACAAGTACAATTAATCAGCTTATGCGCCTGTGTTGCTAACTGCTAACTCTAGAGGGGGATTTTTTTCTATAAGTTCAGAATTTCTACATAATTAAAACTTAAGAATTATTACATTTTCATTGATGACAAAAGCTGTTCATCTAAAGAACAAAAATGGTTTCCACTTTCTTCCTTTGTATAGTTACAACTAGAAATTTCCAAATCTTACTTTGCTTTAACTGTAACAACCAGCTATCATCCAGCTGATTGGCAGTGCGCAGTAACAGGTAGGGGAGGGGTGTTTGTAATATTCTTTTCTCTGTGTAACCACAGAAAATTTGGTTTGCCTACTATCAAAGTAAAGGGATTTTCAACAGTGGTGTACTAAAAAGTTAGTGTGTTGAAATTTGAACGTTAAGAAACTCAGACATTTCTAGATTGATAACTGGCCTGTGAGAAACTGCATTTCTGCAATTTATGTCAGTACCTGATGTTAAACTGTTATTTTATGTAATAACATTAACTAAATAAAAATAATAAAAATCTGGTAATTAATGATGCCACCATGCAGTGAACACCAACTTGGTAAAATTTGTTTATGTAAGCAGAGTGATAAAAAATTATTTTAGCAAAATAAAATAAAGAAACAAACAAAAAAAAAAATAAAGATAATGCCAGCTGAAAGTTTACAAAAACATTTTGTGTTGAAACACAATAATATGCATGGCACCGTTTCTGGCTTTTTGTCATATTTTTCTAAAAACCTACAACTATAAGCAGCATATATCAACATTTTGTTTTTTTTTATCATCAGTATAATTTTGAAACTTGGCCTCCAGACTTCAGAATTAGCAGAGATCACAGTGCTGCAGACTTGCTGCTGCTGCTGTGTGTGTGTGTGTGTGTGTGTGTGTGTGTGTGTGTGTGTGTGTGTGTGTGTTTACAAAAGTAGCTGTATACCTTGTATCCTGTTTTCACCTGGTGAGGTCCTGCTGTAGCTCACATGGAGTCTGGCTGGGCCAAGAAAAAAGATGCCCTGTCCCATTTACAGGAAGACCCAGTAAATCCGGAGTCTGTCTGCAAGTGAAGGGCAGAATAAAGGAGTTTCTCAGGTTCAGAAGGCCCAGCTGAAAGTATCGAGGCCCTGCCCCATTGAGAGCTGAACCTCTGTAAACTCCTTTCAGTCTGTTCAATCAGTCCTACAGGCTTGTGCACCACACACAACAGCCTCCTCTCTTTCATCATATTAAAAGCAACTTGAGTCTTTGCAGTTATCATTAACTTTTAAAAGAAAAAAAAAAAAAAAAAAACTTGGACGCAAACAATCTACGTAAACATGGATTCCAACAACCCACTAAATACCTGTTATTATCTAGTTCACCGTATGGGATTGTAGGAGTCACTCATGCAAAAGTGCTTACAAACACTCTTTCATTATGCATGATATCACTGAGAAAGTATGTAAGTGGAAACGACTAGTTTTACATTTTTGGTCATGGAACTCAGTGGCGGCACATGGCCCCTTTGTCAGAGCGGGATTATCAGGAGCGAGCGCTCACAAAAGGAAATGCTTGTGGAGCTACAGTAACAGAAGGATAAAATCAGCCGTGTGATGATTGGAGTGACACATTTGTTTGGCTGTAACGAAAATAAGCCCATTGATGGAGCATTCAGTCGCAGGCCGGAGCCCCCTCCCTCCCCGCTCCACATCCTGTCTCTTTATCCTTCATGCGAGTGGCAGACAGATAGAGGCTCGGGGGATATTGCAGCAGCCACTGGGTGACAGGGGCTCAGTGTGTGTGTGTGTGTGTGTGTGTGTGTGTGTGCATGCAGAAGTGTCAGCCTGTCTCTTTACATAAACGGCTGACGTGTATGAGACCTGTTTTTTGTTCTGCGCTCAAATTGATCAGCTCATAAAAATATTAAATATATAAAACAAACATAATTATGTCATTACAAATACAAATACAAGGATGTGTTGATAAATGTAGAAATCTGCATTTTCAGTTTTGATTGTTTTTATTTTTTCTCACAATTATTTGTTTTTGCAACTTTAAGACTAAGAAAAATAAAATATTAGCTATTAAAATATATTAGCATTTTTAAGCAGAAATGTATTCATTCTTATTTACAGTAAATAAAGTGTACACATCCTTGTTGAAATGAGATTAATTATTCATGTAAACCAAAATTATACCTTGATATCTAATTTCAAAACAATTTTTACCTTTAACGTGACGCATATATTGAACACATTCAGATCTTTTAGGAAGAAAAATGTAATGTAATGTAAAATAACCTGGTTGCACACGTTTGCAAGTTGATACTTTGTTGCAGTACCGTTAGTCAGCATTCTGTCTTCATCTTCACACCCAATAGCAGTGACAGGGAATCTGAAAAAACAGAAATAAAACTTGGCTGTAATACTTTGCTGAGATTTCTACATCGCTTAGCAAATGTTGTAGAGAGCAGAGTTTACAAAATATTAAATCTCATCATGCAACGGTGCCTCTCAGGTGACAGTAGCAGAACATGTTTTAAGAAACTTTTCTCTCTCTACATTCTATTATGAACAATTCCAGACAACATTGAGATTTGCCCAAAAAGTCGACGTCTCTCAGGAAAAGGAACGTTAAGGGAGATTTCAATTTTCTCATCACACTGAGCTGAAATCAACAAAACAATATAGCTTTACTAAAACAATAAAATTTTGAAATGGGCCAGCCAGAGTTCATATCTAAATCTGACAGAAAACTTGTAGGGTCACCAGAGGAGGGATGTGAAGATTTATCTCACTACCTGAAGGATTTGGAAACGTTTTTCAAAGCACTGTGCGCGGATTTTGCTGAGTCAACTTGTAATGTGATGACAGATTCATAACAAAAAATATTCAGTGCTGAAATTATAGCAAAATGGGTTTCTACAAAATATCAGTTAAAGGATTAGTATCATCACTTTTTCTTCATTGTAACCAGATTAATGCAATGTAGAAAATATCCCCCGAGATTAAGCTGAGCTGATCTCCACAGTGAATACAAGAAATTATCACATCATAATGCAAAACTTAGAACGCATAGAGTACACATACATGTTCTCCATGAGGAAGAAGTGTGAAATATGGGATGTTACAATAAAGTTCACGTTAACATGATTCAGCAAAGTAAGGGTTTTCAGACTTCTCATCCTTCATTTCAGCGTTTCCTTTTCAAAAGGTAGCGGAGAGCTGATAAAAAGAAAACAACATCTGGCCTGATGGTGAACTAGAACCCATGGGAAGTGTTTGATCTCTGGATAGAGACGGTGACTCACCTTTCTCTGTGTTTTACTTTACACTCCATGGGCATGTGAACACACATTTCTCTGCTTGTAACCTGCTGTCTGTGGGCTCTGAGAGTAGCCAGATGATTTCAGGATTACTGTATCCACCAGAAATCAGCCCTGCCTCACCAGAGCCGGGGGATCAGACGTGCCACACACAGGCCTGGGATCACTGTCGGACTTTTAAATCTTCACACTGCCAAATGTCTAGGTAGCTGCATGCAGCTGTTGTGTTGAGCTTACTGAAGTGGCTCAGAGAAGATGACAAAGACCCTGGCTGAAAGTGAATCTTCACTAAGTCTGCTGGTTATTGTATTTTAGAATAATACATTTTAAATTGGATGCGATTTGGTCATTAACTCAAAAATTTCCCCACTGGTTAAGTGTGATCACCTCTAAATGGGAAAGTATTGCATCTTTTACATTAAAAGTATTTTAATATAAACTTGTAGCAAACAGTGTTTTTGTTCTGTGAAATGGCATTACAAAGATTCAACAGTTTAAAGAAAATTTCCGGTAAAGTATTAGGAATAGTAGACAGATATGTCACAGTGAGTTTGTGAAGAAAACAATGGATCACAAAGGTGGAATGCAAAAACTTAATCATACGGATCCTCTATTGTAGCTGATTTAACCATTTAAGACATTTAAATGGTACAATAAAATTTCAACATAAAATTTATATTGTATGTTGTTTGGCAAAGAAAGCAGAAACAAACCTAACATTGGATTTTTGTAAAAGTCTAGACCGTTATCACTTTGTGTAGATATTGATTTTGACAGTTTATAGCAGCAAAGTGAATGTAAATAAATACACAATTAAAAAACTATGGTGATGAAAAGACCGTTTGTCTGATTCTCCTCCTCACCTGGTTTGGTGGTGAAAACACCAAAAATAATGTCTATTTTTCATACCTATGAAAAAGTTCCTGTTCTTCCCCTAAACTACAACTATGTCCAAACATATCAACATGTCGTATATTTTTCTTTTTAAACTGTCAGGGGCTTTTTTTCTCTTTCTCTACTCTTCAGGTTAATCCCAGAATCTTTATTCTGAAGCCAATCGTTTTACAAATTTAATTCTTCTTGTGAGCGCTTACCAGCAGCCTTTATATTTCCTCATCCTCAATCCAAGTCTTGCATTAAGCCATTTCGCCCAGCTATCTTGCTACAAAAACATTTGTTTTGGTTGCGTTTACCCACAATGCCATGCACTGTAGTCTACTTCCTGCACTTGGTTCACTATAAGCTGGCCAAGACTTATGCTTGTAGGTGGATGAGAGTGCATTTCTTTGATCTGCTCCACAATTTGATTGCACATTTACAACTGCCAGAACAAACCAGACTCTCTAAACAAACGAGCCAGAGTGCAAATTAACAGGGCTGGTCTGAGGCACGATTGAACCCAATTTTCACTCTGCGCTAAATTGTTGTGATTTCATGGATTTTTTATTAAAATTTATTTTCAATCTGGCTTTACAGTAGACCCCAGTGCTGAAACTGCTTTGTTTAAAATAGCAAACTACATTCATACTGCAGTAAGTATGTTCAACATCACCCTGTTGATGCTGTTAGATTTCAAGATATCTTTTGACACAATTAACTGTAAAATATTACTCCACTTATTTTACATCAGAATTGAGCATATCACTCAGTGCAACTTTGTTGAACTCATTATCTAGTTTTTTATTGAAGTTAAAATTATAAGGCAACATCTTCAGCTCACTAAAAGACATTCAAAAAACTTTAAAAGTAGATTTAATATGCATACTAAAGAATATTAAATCCACTTTTAATATGTTCCATATTGTTTTTTTCAATATGGAGCTTTATTTTATTGCATTATGAAGGGATTCTTAGTTGAATGTTTCTTTATTTAATAAACCATCGACAAAAGACAAATGAAATCGGTTTTCGTTTTTTCAAACATCTAAAAAGGGGGAAAATAAAAACAGAAACTTCAACAAAACATCAGACATTTTTTTGTTTGTTTAAAGCCCATTCGAGTTGGTGGGGGTCAATTATCTCCAGAAAACTATAGAGATTTCATATCAGACTGCGGCTGCTCTGAGCTTGAGCATCTGCAAACCACTGCCCACCCCCCTTTCACGCAGCCACAAAAACACTCTGACATTGTGTTGGTGGTATTAGGTGTTACACAGGGGTCTATTTCCCTCTCAGTTGTCTGAGTGGAACACACCCGCTGTGGCTGGGCTACCCCTTGGTTCCACGTGTGACAGTAATTTTACACAGCCGAGGCCCTCAGTCCCGGAGGTGGGCCATTAAAGTTCAGGTGAGGTTAATTACAGAGAATTGTTCAGGCTGCTGCTGTGCGCTGAGCCGGTGGGAGGGATTTGACGCCTCCAACGCTGATTTCTGTTTGACACGGTTCCACAGGCTCCGCGGGTGTTCAGCAGCAGATTTACACACAACACCTACAGATGCCAATCACTCAGCCAAACACCTCCAAATTAAAGCCCACAACACAGCCACATGAAAATACTACAGCTTGTTATTACATCCGACGTATAAATTACCACACACAACATGCACGTAGCCCACATGAAACACACAAATTGAGTGCAACTAAACAGCCGGATTCAGGAATATTATTTTACGAAGAGAACACTGTATAATTTCTACTAAAAGATCACATTTAAGCAGAGATGAGCAAAAGAGGAAAAAGTTGCAAAACAAGAGCAACTCAAAGACGCAGTCTCTTCTGTTTGAGTAAGGATGAGATTATATTGGATTAAAGGGGATTTTTGCAATGCAAATGAATGCACCTCAAATCAATAAGGCCTGTTCTACTCAATATACAAACTAATTAAGAGGTAATATAATCAAACCTGAATAAAATAGATTGTGCAGCTTCCTCAGAAAGAAATCCAATCAAACCTTTTTATGTGAAAAGATAAAATCTAAAGCGATCTTTCTTTGTACGAATAATGACCTCGGCTTTGTGTCCATTTAATAAGGAAAACTTGTCTTAAGAGGTTACGCTCAATGTGCATATTCTAATCAATATGAATTACATAGGGTTTTATCTATGTTATCTGCTCCAGACTGCTAAGCTAATTAATGTTTTATCGAGTCTTTTAACTCAATTATTTCGCAAAGTCAAAGAGGTTCAACGCAATTTTGTACGAGCAGCCTGAACATTGTCTGTGGAGAGGAAACTCTTGGGTTCTGCAGTGTTTAAAGAAGACTCAGCTACAAGGCTTTTGTCTAACTTAGAAAAGCGTTTTGTGCGTAAAGTCATTTAGTTGTATTTTCAAAGATTCCCATATCTCTAACATTTAATGTTGGATTTCCTGTAGCCAAAGTTTGGAATCCTCCCCCGCCCCTCTTGAGCTTCATTCCAGCTGATTGCTCATTTTCTAATGTTAATGGTGCTAGGCTGGGGTTAGAGTTTCTCCCCTGTCAGCTGGCCACTGGGGCTGTGGGACGGATCTAATGGGCTCTGACAGGAGGGAACTGATCTCATTCAAAGGGGATTTGATATGTGGCATGAATGTGGTGACCCTCAATGGACATATTAATGACCGTTATCACTCACAGACTCTTGCCATTCATAAAGCTCCTTTTCTGCTGGGTGCACCGCTGCTGCGCCAAATGCCATGACTTATGGATGAGCTGGCCGTATATTGTTTTCCCTGCCTTTTAGGTAGCACGTCAACAAGACTCAGCGCTCTGTTCCGGTGGCTGCTCCGATAGTTTGAGCAGCAGTAAATAATAACAGTGTGGGTGTTGTTTACAATTCAATTACAACCACAAGCTGGCAGAGAGAAAGACAAAGGCGGTGCAGCCACAGGAGACACGGGAGCGACTCCTGTCATTATATAGGTCAATATTTAACCTCAGATGCGACTGAGGCGTCTCTTCATATATTCAAAATGGTGGTTTGCACCCATTTGTAACCAGTAATGATGAAAAGTTTTGTTTCGAGTCCTTTGGGTATTGACGTCAAATTAAAATACACAACAAATCATGTAAGTAAGTAAAAGTATTCACTACCCTGCAACCTTGGATGACTGAAGGTAATGTAGAAAATGATCTTCCCTCAACTTGTCTTTCTCATGCCACAGCATCACAGTTTCCTTCACATTCAACTGGAAGATTTATTCTTCTTCTGTGTTATAAACATACTTCAGGTATCACATACTTCAGCAGAGAATCTGTGTCTCGGTACTCAGCTTCACATATGTCCTAAAGATATGGTTTATCTGGTTTTTCAACAAACCCATAAAGAAGCATGAAATAAAATTTAAAAAAATGTTCTTTGAGTGAGAACTCCCTCAAAAAGTGCAAAACACAAGTTCAAATGTTCTCTGCAGTCCTTCAGCTAGCTCTCACACGTAGAAATCCGCTAGCATTAGCTCCAATTAGCCTTCAGAACAAATCCCGTTTTCGTACACAATAACAATCACAAAACGACTCATTAGTTGAGATTAGATTTAAGAACCCTTTCGACTCTTCCAAGAAAACTAATATGTATAAAACCATATTTTTTACTGACCTGTAGTATGAGAAAGACGAGACACACACGTTGACCTTCCTTCATATTCAACCGGAAGATTTATTCTTCTTGTATGTTCAATCTTCTCTATGCCACCAACGCGACAGCGCCCCTAGCGGTTCTATGTGAAATTGCGCAGACTAACTGAAATAAAGCCAGACAACTATCTTTAATTTCTCGTTGTAATGAGAAATTAAAGATAGAAAAATAAAAAATATGTTGGGGTGCCTATTTCCTTACTTATTGTTTTTAATTTGCCAATAACATGTTTTTCACCCCTCTACATATTCATGCCTCTTGAATCTTCACAGATTTTTTAACATTACGACTAAGATTGCAGAGAGGCTTAAAGCAAGATTAGGTTATCAAAACAATTTTATTTAGTTAACCAGTAAGTTTCCTTTTACATTAAGAATCTCTTTTTCAAGGGAGATCCGACTATAAATGTTCAATTTATCATCCAAAAACATGCAGACATGGCCATCCACCAAGAGAAAAAGCAAAAATATCACTGATAACTCTAAAAGAGCAGAAAACATCAACAGCTCAAGTGGAAGATTTTATAGACAGAAAAACATAGTCATACTAAGCAAAAAGAAACTTACTATTGAAAGAAATACATTGGAATTTCCCTTTTAGCAGTTTGCTATAAGCAATGGAAGGGATACATAAAGTGAGAAAGTGCTCAGGTCAGATGAGCACTAACATCTGACCTGAACACTAACATTGTGAATCACTCTGAGCACGTCGTCTTAATGTTTAAACATGGTGGTGGAGGAATCATGCAAATGGGATTATTTTCTTCAATAGGAACAGGGAGGTTTGTCCAAGTTAATGTCAAGATGGAGGGGGATAAAGGCAGAGGAATCATTGAAAATATCTGAGGCTACAAAAGAGACTGGGACAAAGATTCACTTTCTCAGAAAGCAACAAGAATAGACGGCTTGCAATGCAATGATTCACATCCACTCATATTAATTTATTAAAATGGTTCAGTCAAAATCTAGACCTGAACCTAACTGATAAACTGAGGCAAGCCTGAAAACTGATGTTCTCAGACACTCTGCATCTAATCTGACTATCCTTGAGCTACAGTATTTCCCAAAGAAGGGGTAAAGTTTAGTCTCTCCATATAATAGCCTGATAGAAGAAGTCAAAAGCATTTTCCATATGCTTCAGAATTATACACTTCTTTGTCATGGACTCTGGTACATAATCCTGAAAAAATACATACAATTTTGTGGTTAGAACAGCTCAAAATGTGATCAAATTAAGAGGTATATGTATGTTGCTGGAATCAATTCTAATAAATCAATTAGAACGCAACCTATAGGCCCAAACATTTCAACTTCCAAAGAAAGAAGAAAAACGAAAACGAAGCTTAAATCAATGTTTGAATGCTTTTGCATAAACAAGTCTTAAAAAGGCACAGCTCGTGCACAAAATGGCACAGCCACAATTAAACGTCTCAGGCAGGATGTTCATCAGAGTGTGGTTTTCCAAAAAAATCCCAAACAGTTCCAGTTTTGCTATAAAGGGAAGAAAAAGACAGGCAAAGAAAGTCATATTCAGCCATTCAAGCATTCGACTGGAAGAGGAAATGACGACTGATATATACAAGGGCAACCACCGACAAACACATGTGGCTCAGTGGCTGCAATTTGAGCTATTTTTCCTGTTACCTGGTTAAAATATCTGTCAGAAGCCAATGAGTCCATCAAAAGAACAACAAACTCACAATGCAAAGTTCAAACACTCATGCATCACAAATCAGTTACTAGTCAGGAAAAAGAAATTCCTATAATATGAATTATCCTAGTGCATTACTTTCTTTTGCAAACAAAGTTTTAGTAGTTAAAATAAGATCAAAGAGATATGCGTGCTTTCTGATAAGAATAAATTACATGACACAAGTGGTTGCTATTACAAATTTACCATTAACCTCTGATTTTAAGGTTACTATGATTAATTATAAGCATATTCCGAGCATTTTGCACTCCGCCAGATTCCCTGCATGCTCTATTAGCAAAGCCGAGGTGCAGATCCGAACGCAGCGGCAGCAGCTTGGGAGGTGCCAAGAAGTGTTTTTCAACAGCTGTGCAGGAAGTCACATCCCTCCACACATCGAGGTGTCACAAGCAGAACTTTAACATTTCCAATTTTAATCCCAGATTCCTGCCATGTGTCAGCTTCAAAATAAAATTCTGTTCCAGCTCCTTGTTACCTCACAGCAGCATTTTACCACCAAGAGAAACCTAGACGGATGTCAATCCTTATCCGGTTTCTCTGTTCTGCTTTATTTGTTTTTATTGGTCTTCTTCTTGCTAATGAAGAATAGATTTGCTGGAAGCACCCTTCCGAGCACACTGGAATGTTTAAAGGAAGTTCAAAAAATGATTTAAAGCACAGGATGTAAAACCACATGGCCTGCTAAATGTAGCGTTGAATCACGTGTTCTATTGGAAATAAATGGCATATCATAATATCTTAATAAACATCAGGTGGGAAATGGTAGAAAATAACAGAATGTATTTATGTAACTTAAACTCTGATAATTTACCCAAGAGTTTTAATTAGATTAAAAAAATATTTATTTTGTAATTTTAGTTTGAAAGTTGCTGCTTGCCAAATATATTCTTCAAACTAAATTATTGGAATAGGATATAATATGAAGCAATTCAAATGTTTTTAGTTTCAAACAACTCCAATATTCAAATTTTGCAGGTCACTTTATTTGTAATTAATTACATCTACTTGTGTAGTGTAAATAACAGGAATAACTGGGATTATCCTGCATACGTATTTTTTGTCTCTAATTAATGCTCTTTTCATACTATTGTTTATTTTCTTTACTTTTCAGTTTCATTGGCAGATTTGCAGTTTTAAGTTGTGGAAATATTAAGCTACATTAAACTACATTTCTATTCACACCAGTCAATTTCCATCATGCTGACTGTAAAACAGGAAATCTTATCAGTGAGATATAAATGTTCAAAAATATTATCAATATAATTAATAATTAATTAATTCACACATCTAAAAAAGGTGGGAGTCTACGGACCACGTAGGGATGGCTGAATGGCTATGACCTTTGTATCACTATGAGTAGGTGACACATAGAGGATTTTTTTACTTTAGGAAAGTTATTAAGTGTTGCTGAGCACAAAAGATGTGGCAGAAAATAAAAACAAAATCTTAACTTCACAGTAACTTCACACAAACAGAACCAGACATAATATGGTATACATCACAAGCAAAGACATTTAACAGAGTTGATCTAAATGGTTCAGAAAAAATATTTTTATGGTTTTAAACGTTCTTTCTGCGACTCTCAACTCAGCTTATTTGAGTTGAGGAGGCATCATTGGGGTCCTGTCAGCCAATCAGATGTAGGCTTGGTGTAAAGTGAGAGTTTATGACAGATAGCCCATATAGAAAACTGAATCTGCTGTTACTATGTGCGAAGTTTCAAAAATATTAAGATATTAATACTTGATATGTCAAGATATCACTTTAGACATAATAATTAATGACTAAGGCTGTTTTTACACATCTCTTTTTCTAAAAAAAATGTTCACTCTATTGAATAAAAGACATCGGTCACATTCAGAGTTTAACACATCAATAATCAATATTACAGTTGCAATTAATAATATTTCAAAGCTTTTTGATTGTCTAATTTAGCTAAATAAGACTGTTAGCGGATGGACTTCGGCTTGTTTTTCCAGGCGTTCAGACTGATGGTTTTTGAGCACAATGGATGGTCGTATCCTTCTTACATTTGCTGAATTAACTGAATTCAACAATTATTTGACCGTTGGGAGCAATTCACAGCGATGAAACGCTTCTGAACTTTCATCTCCAGATATAGAAGGATTAAAAAAAATACTATGACAGCAGCTTTATCAAACATTTCTTCACTGTGATGGGTCGGTATTTAAAAGTGGAGCATAATGTAAAATCAAATTTTGAACTTTATGTAATTTTAAGGAACTTCATAATATTATTCCCACATCAAAAACATACCTGGAGTTTTTTCTTTGATTTTTTTTCGTAAATGTTCATAAAATTCTTGAATCTCCCCAGGCAGCCTTTCTTGGGTGCCTGAACGCCATTTTCCACAAAGCTCCTCCTTGGAGCTGCAGTTTCTATCCGAGTTTCCACCTCAGAGCGCCCCTCCCCCACTCAGCTCCACCAGACTATAGGAAGCAGCAATTAGCAAACACCTGGTGGAACTGCAAGTTTGCTGAGTTTATCATACAAACTACTTCTTAGCCTCCTAAGAACATTGCAAAACATCATAAAGAGAAGGCATTGCTATGATGACATGCTGAAGGCGGAGTGTCTGAAAGAGCAGGAGGCAATTTCAAAGTGCCAAATTGTGAACTCAAATTTCTTTTAAGTTATGGTTTATGTATAAATTTTTACAACAACTAGATGTAACACAGTTATTTGATCAAGCTATAAAATGGCACTCTGTTCTGTGCCTAGAAAACACTTAATACCTCCCATTTGAATTGTTAAAATCTATAAAAACCTTACCTTCAGTTTTTCACTTTGTACTTTTGCAAGTCCAAGCCACAGTAAAAGCATAAAGGTGCTTTTGTCAGTTTTCATTTACAAATGTTTACTGATTAAACAGATGTAGCAGAAAAGCAAAGTAAGAGAGTGTTGTTCTTTACTTTGACGCCAAGGCAGCAGGACCTTTTTTTGCCTGACTTCCTCCACAGCCTGGAAAATCCTTGCCACATTGCTGCCATTGTGAGAGCTACTTTGCTTTCACAGTCCAAAGATCAAAACAGCAGCCATGTTTCTAAGGAACAAATGTCTTACCAGCGGGGTTGGTGTGAACACAGATATAATGCTGACAGGAAGCTGGGGCAGTCACTTGTAGAGCCAATTATGGGCAGAGCCATGGGGGCAGGTTTACAAACACTTCTTTTCTTGCATGGCACTGCTCTGAGGTATATGATTAACTTCCTCGCCAAAAGTACCCAGGCAACCCAGAGACTGCCCTCTTCGTAGGTGGCAAAACCGGTGAGTTGTGGCATATTACTGTCAACAGCGTTCTA